TAAGCAAATGGGGGGACATTTAGCTGCCACAGTTTAAGGTCGGGAATGATGGTGTTGAAAGCAGGGTTAAAGTCTATAAACAGTAAAATATAATCCTTTATTAGACCTACAATGGGAATTCTCAGAACATGTATAAGTGTTAGGGCCATCCAGGTGTTCTAGGATGTAGTACAGAGTAGAATTAATGATGGTGGTGGTGGAGAGCTCTGTCTAAAAATATCAGTACAAAATCTCCCTAGCTGCTCAATTGCACATAGACTAGCATATGATTTATATCATTTTGGCATTTATCAGATCATTCAGTTTGGGGCCCTCATGCCATGTTGTTGGGGAAATTGTCAACCTGGAAGAGATTACTCCATTCAGAATAGTAATCATAAAGTTGATCAATGCGAATAACTTTGAATTTATTTGCAGTGACCCTTGCCTTTAAGGCGACAAGTGAATCCAAACCATATCAGATCCCATAGCAAAAAAGAGTCACTGGACCCCCTCACTGTAAGGGTAAATCATTTAGACATATACTGTTCTTTTGGTGTACGCTGCCCACTTGTGGAGAATACGGTGAAGGATGATTCATCTGATCAAATCACTTTTTTCCACATCTCTGTAGCTGAAGGTCCAACTAGGAAATTACTGGATGTCAGGAGTCCCCAGTTCTCAACTTCTAAATTGGGCCTCTGATTCCAACTTACTGATTGATCCCAGTTTGTAAATACACTCAGTGATAGTCTTCAAGAAATCAAGACTGTTCCCTCCAGCTGAAAAATCGCCTTCACCTGAGAACATGGAGGAGACTCCAGAAGCTCTCATGTGGTACAGTGTCAAAAATGTAGGAGTTTCTCAATCTTTCTGTCCAGTAATCTTTAGATACAGAACTGCTTGCCATGCTGTAAACTCCAGTGCTGGATTTAAAGTCAATACTGATTGCCTGATTAGGAACCAGACTGAAAAAGAATTACGCCCTTGCAGTTCCTGTAGGTGAAGTCAAAATATTCAATGTTTCAGTTAAAAGTGATTTCAGGAAAAAAAAAAAGTTGTGTGATGCCACTACCTTACATTTCTAAAAGTCTTCAGATGAAGATCTAGCATTAGGGGTTTGTAGGCAGGATACATGTGCATAGTAGTTTTATTCTGGACAGTCCAAGACTCATAGTCATTACAAGCAGGGGTCAAAAAACAGGCAGGCATATACACACAGGGCACATCCATAATTTAAAACCAGTTAAGCAAAGTACAGGTGGCACACAGGAAACCCACAGTCCAAAGAGAACAAGGCTTAGAACTTAGGTGTGAAAACAGGAACCACACAAGGCCAAATGAAGGTGCATATAATAATGAAGAGGCGGGGCCAGAAAGGAGCAGGGACTGGAATGAGGCAATCCAGACTGAGCAGGTCTGGATAGAGTCTCCCAGAAGGGGGAGACATTGTGACAGAAAATGGTTAACAGAGTTATACTTTCTAAAAAAGGCTTGTTGTTGTTGTTTAGAAAAGATCTCAGTCATGAAATGTGAAACTGACAGAGCTATAAATTCTCTCAGAGCACTGAAGCATGAGCTGCTAATGCAAAGTGTCTTCAGCATGAAAACACTGTAGAAAACAAAACTGAGGGGTCAAACTCAGAATAACTGAACAGTCGAATGATCTGCCTGTAATTATAAAACACACTGTTCATTATTGCCAGTATTTTACAGATTTAACACAATTTTTTTCACAGTAAAATGCAAAGAAACTGACTTTGAATAAGCCTTTATAAGTATATGTTAATGTCCGTTGTAATGAAAGACCTATGTAGGTGTTGTGTAGCCTTATAAACATTGCACTAGAATAAACTTAAGAATAGTCAGTTTGTGTTGTAGTCCATATGGTAACTGAACAGTAAGCCTTGTGCTGTGTTTACGTGTTGGCATTAAAAAATGTTTGGTGACTCATTTGTGTTTTGAACACACACTAATATTTCTAAAGGTGTATTTTTGCTGTTCAGGAGTTGATGTACATGAGCAGGTATGCCTGGAATTTGAATATGTGCATTCAGCACTTTCTGAAAAAACATCTGGTTTATTCCAGTGCTGCGGCCAAAAGCAAAAGCTTGGAAAATTGTACTTGAGATGGAACATTCTGCTTACTGCTGTGGTCAGAGTGATGTTTTCTGACTCTGATCCATTAAAACAATGGAATATGCAGTTTCCTGTTGTCCATCTGCCACCAATGTTTAAATGCATTAGGAAGTAAGCCCAGGATTTTAAGACAGTAGCTCTCTAATTTTTAAAGAAACAGAGATTTAAAACAAGATTTACATGCTGGTAGAAGCTGGTTTATGTCAGTCAACTAACATGGTCATGCTAGTTGACCGGCATACCAGCATCTAAAGCACATTAATTTTGCTGTTTTTTCTAACAGGTGTGTGTGTGTGTGTGTGTGTGTGTGTGTGTGTGTGTTTGAGCAAAAGAGAGGGCTAATGAATAAAAGAAAGCATTGCTGTAAATGAATAAATAAATAAATAAATATAAGCAGAATTTGCTTAATGTCAATTAATGAATTTGTTGATGTTTCAGATGCTGGAGTATTATAAATATTATAGTAGTCTAGTGCTTTTAAATAGAGTTTCAACTTAATTCCAGAATTCTTATTCAAAGTGATATTAAGCAAAATGGATACTTGTGAGTGCATCTCTGTGTGGGAGTGCATGTGTGTGTGTGTGTGTGCGTGTGTGTGTGTGTGTGTGTGTGTGTGCGTGAATGTGTGTTTGTGTAGATCTTTTTGAGACCCTACCTGGAAAACATGAGAAGTTTGGTTACTTAGGATATGTATTGGTTTATGTATTGTTTACATTGGTTTATGCATGTATCAGTTTGTGTATACCAGTTTATACACTTTGGTTTATATATACTGGATCCTTGCTATGTTTCTGTCTGGGGCAATTGCTCTGTCATTAGCTTTGCTGAGGTTTAGAGTTTAACACGAGCTTAAACCCGAATGAGTCACATGGGTTCTTAAGCTCCATTGTCGTGTCCTTGAAAGCTGCAGTTTAAAGCGCACCTGCAGTTTGAACTTGACCCAATTGCTGAGTCATTTCAAAATTCCATATCATATTAGGTTTAACAGAGGTTTGTCTTAAACCTGCTTAAGATATGGTTTTACTGAGGTTTAATGCAAGCTTTTTGTACATGTAGCACATTTTCTGTTCAGATATTTTAATATTCCATACATAAGCTGGTATACTGTCTGTCATAATGTTTTGTGGACTTCATGGTATGTTTTAATTTGATGTTATGTTGCTTAATTAAACACTCACTGACTTACCATATTAGGGTTGCCACCTTTTCAACAAGCCAAAAGCAAACACTCCCCTATACTCTTACTCTTAAAGTCAAAATTCACAAAAGTGTTTTTTGAGGAATCAGTACAGGGAAAGCAAAAAAAAAACATGATTTCATTATACACTAATGTTAGTTCAGCAGCTATAATGCAATCTTCTTTGGCAGTGATTTTCTTGAGTAAGAAGTTCAAAAGGCTGTTGACTGGTTTTATTGAGTCAGTTCCGTTTATGTCAATCTGAAGTTTAATAGGCTCTCAAGGTAAAAACACCATCATGTTTAAGGGTGAATGAGAAATTACATATTCTCTTTTTATGATTGGCCATTGCATTAAAACACTAATTATGCTAAAAGACTCAATTGGCCTAAAATTGGCGATAGGAGGAGGGAAGTGAGGAGTGACAAACATGTTCAACAAGATTTTATTGCTTGTTTCCCCCTACAATTTGAGAGACCATTGCAAAAAGTGGAAAAATGAAAATCAAAACTGGACACCCAGACATCTAGCCTGAAAACTATACTTTCCAGGTGTGTATACACACACACACACACACACACACACACACACACACACATATATATATATATATATATATATAAAACACCTTGTAATTATAATGTTTTAATCCCCTTTCTTCATACAGAGTGAGTAAGGTTAGAGATAGTTAAGATTCATCACATACAAGCCTTTAATAAATTAGATTGCTGAGCTGTAGAAACCATCACAACTAGTATATAGTAGTGGATATTAATTCTCCACTCAGGCAAGAACACCATACTATAGCAATAAGAGTCACTGGGCTCGACTCCTAATGATTCAGTTACTTTCCTACATAACATGATTGAATTAGTCTCTTGGGAGTATCTGCCCTTGGTAAATTTACAGGTTTTGTTGATATTATAAGTGAAAATAAGTACACATCTCTACATTTAAATGCACAATGTTTACTTGCTGAATTTGACATAAAAAAAATTCATGATAAAAAATCAATTACTGTATTTACTGCACAGTTCCAGCAATTGCTTTATTTCTGTCTAATGTCTACAACATTAATTAAAATAGTAGATTGTGCTGATTTCAGACACTGTAGATATCAGAGCAAAACTGTGCTTACATTTTTAGAAATTAGACTATAAAGTATTTATCTGTTATATCTAGTGAGTTGTGTTTTTACAATGTTCCTTACCTCAATTTGTTTATTACCAAAGTTTGTCAAGCCTGAAGTATCATTTACAAGTAAAGCCCAATGCTGACTGTGCTGGATGTTATGAGAGAACTATGGATAAATCTTTAGTGTGAAATACAGAAATACTCAAAATTAAAAATCTGGGGAGTCCCTGAATATAATCTTATCAGTATGTTATTAATTTCTTTTGAGATGTTTCTGCAGGGTTTTTTTTTATAGATGTAGAGCATTTAGGTCATAAAATAAACTGCTGTACTGAACTGCATGTTTCTGCAGAGAGGAGAGTTTAAGTTTTGAAAAAGTGCACTTTGCAGTAAAAATAATGTTTCATAGTAATGGTATAAAACTGTAACCATGTTACAGCCCTGTTATAAACACAACAGTAGAACATGTGAGGACGTGTGTGTTTGTCAGAACTGACTCTGATTAAGCGTATCATCTGCTCCAGCTGCAGCAGTGCAGAGTGACTGAGGGAAGTTTTTGTAAGATGCTTTTTCACTGTGTAAACACCCAGCTTTCACTGATCCTATGTGCAGTCACACAGTAATAATCTCCAGAATCTTCAGCCTGGACTCCACTGACGGTCAGAGAAAAATCCAGACCATTCCCTCCTGATGAAGGATGACCTCCACCACCACTAAATTTAGAGGAAACTCCAGATTCTCTCTCATCTGAATAATATATCAGAAGCTTTGGCTCTTCTCCAGGTTTCTGAAGGTACCAGGATGTATAATATCGGCCCTTGGAAGTTAGCCCTCGCTCAAGACGATAAACTACAGTGTTGGCTTTGCAGTCAATAGTGACTGAATGACCAGGCTGAGCTGATTTAGCTGCAGTCTGAGTGACCACAACCTGCCCCAAAGAGCCTGCAGATAAAGAAAAAAGAGTGACTATGTTTAATAAAATAATTATATGTACGAAATATAAAACTTCTTTTAAATATGAATTATTTACTGAGAAGTCTAAGAATTTTCAAATGTAACTGATAGAAATATTCTTACCCAAAGTACATGTAACAAGCATCCAGATGAAGATGGTGATTAAAGTCATGATGGCTTTTTGATGTGTGATTATGTAGATCAGCTCTCAGTCATGAAGTGTTAAACTGACAGAGCTATAAACTCTCCCAGAGCACTGAAGCATGAGCTGCTAATGCAAAGTGTCTTCAGCATGAAAATCATCTTCCTGACTGCAGAAAACAGATGGAATATAGCAGAAGATGTATTTTTTCTAGATGATATAGATACTATTAGTCAACAGTAGCTCCATAGTATTGTATATTAACACAACAATGTATTAATATCATTGAAATGGTCACCCAACGCAAGAATATTCTTCATACTCAAAGCAGTCTGGAAAGGCATGTGAGGTGATTTTCTGATAAAACATTTTTAAATTCTAGACGCAATTTTCTGTACATTGAACATTTCTTCCGCACTTTTTGTTTTGTTTATTGTAACATTCTGTATCTGACGTATGACATTGTCAGCTATGAAAAGCTTGTTTTCTATCATGCGTATTCAAAGTTTGACTGATTATGCAGCTGGAATGGATGCTGAAGAGAGATGTAAAGTTAAAATGCTTCAGTATTGTCCTTAAGTAGAGTACAGTACAGTACTTTAGGACTTACTTGATGATTTGAATATGAACACTATCACTATCACCATCACTATTATGGTAACTTTGTTAGTGTTTTGAGCCAAAAACAAACATTTTACTTTTTTAAAGATTTCTAATGTTCCAAAAGTGTAACGAAGAGAGTTCTCAGAAGAAACTGGTGGAGACAAGGTCACAAGGTCATGGTCCATACTCAGCTTTAGTCAAACACCTCTCAAAAAAAACAGCAGTTACAGCAGAAAAACAGCAGACCTGTGTTTAGCTTAGCAGCTACTACTCAGGATCACCCAGCCTAGCTCCTTTGTTTAATCTAGGTTACGGGAAGTCTCTCAAAACCATGTCTCTGTAAGAAACCTAGCCCCCACTTAGACTAAGAATTCCTGCAGAAGAACATTGTTCTAATCAGCTGAATTAGCGATTTTTTAGTAGACTTGGATCTTTTCTAAGATTAAAAGAGAAATCAAGTATAACATTTATATAAATTATAATATAAAATATTACCTCAACTCTGAGTCTTTATCAAAGGCTCAACCCTGACTCTAAGACATGCTAGAGTGAGTGTCAGTAGAGCAATTCTTTTCCAGCTGTCTTTCTCTATTAAGAGTGTATTACTGCAATGAAAGTTTGAAAAGAAATGAAAAAGTAAGCCCTAGGCATTTTGCCTTTACTGTGTTTTACAGTTTAAGAACATCGTTAGATTAACTCAGATAAGTTAATCATATTAATGAATTGATTTGTAATCCATTTCAAACTGTACTGTAACCTGCACTGTGCTGTTAGCAGCCCTAACAGTAGACAGGTATGTAGGGTTTAGTGTTAGACTAGCTAATGTTAATGTTGTTTTTACCCATAATGTCACTGCACAGTAACGTTAATGCATGGTTGTAATGTGAGCTCATCAGTTGTTGGCCGTTAGTTAGCCTGTTTTGTCAGAGCTTAAATTGGCTTCTTATTTAAATTTTCCATTCCACCTTAAATGGTGTAGCAGAATGCAGGTGCCTGAATGTAACTGCTACACTGTTTAAGGTGGAACTGAAAATTATGCATAAGCAGCTGGTGATAAAGAAGGAGACACTGACAAAACATTGTAATATGCAGATTAGTGTTATTATAATAAGGCATACCAGCACTTACAGCATACAGCAGTTTTTATAACCAGCTGGTATTTATACATGCAGTTCATTCTTTTGTAGGAGAGGTAGATAAAGAACTGACTGATGTTTTTACAGTCTTTAGTGAAGGTGCTCTGGAATCTAGAGGACAGAGTATGTAACCATGTGATCATGTAAAATGGGTCATGGGCTCATAAAATATGTTGATATATATATATATATATATATATATATATATATATATGTATATATATATATATATATATATATATATACATATATATATATATATATATATATATATATATATATATATATAGATAAAAGGGGTCATGGGGTCTGATAAAATATAATTATGCAGATATAACAGCAATAATAAATAAAGTTATTGTTATTATTATTATTATTATTATTATTATTATGTCCATCTAAATGCTGTTTACACTTAGAACCTGATGAGAAGACACAGTAAGCAGGTCTTAAAGACAAACTTCCTTAATTAATTAATTAAAATACACTAGTCACTTTGTGGACAAATAGATTCAGTCATGGCAGGTTTGGTCGGTCCCATTAAAAAAAACAAATTATAATTCAGTTTAGTGGATGAATGGGTAAAATTCCTGACATGCATTTGTTGTTGCGAAAAACATGCTATCACACGATACAATACGCATTACCGATCACACCGATTTCTCATCTGTTTAAGATGTGCTAGAGTTTTGATATACTTATACTGGAGTAATGAGGTACACAGGACCCCCAAGATCAATTTCCTTTTTCTCCTAAGGGTTTCTCATTTTTTCTTATGGACTGTCCAGGACCCCCCACCTGCTCTCAACATGAATCTTGCTTACAGTGTCATATTTGTCGATATAACAATATTCTATAAATCCTTTAAGTAGGTACAGAGTTCCAGCATGAATTTTACAACCACCAAATCTCAGGAAACTTAATCAACACAGCAGACTCTGTTGAATTTATACCATAGAGATATCAGAATACTACTGTTGTTCAATTCTGTAAATTAAGTAAATGAGGAAGTGTTCATCTGTTACTTCTGGAGAGCTTTTGCATTTTGTTCTCAATATTGTTCTTAATGTTGCTTACATTAAAGTCAGTAGGTGTTTTTTAGTTGTGTGTGGAAGTGAAAGAAACTTTGTGTGTGTGTGTGTGTGCAGTTCTGCTCTGTGTCTCTTCATCTCCCATCAACACCTGCAGTAGATGCAGCTGCAGCAGTGCAGTCTCTGTACAGTCTGACTGAGGGAGGTTTTTGTATGACACATTTTCACTGTGTGAACCTTCCACTATAAGCTCCCATACAATAATAATCTCCTGCATCCTCAGGCTGGACTCCACTGATGGTAAACTGAAAGTTAAGCCCTGAATATGAACCACTGAATCGTTCTGGAACTCCAGACCAGCGTGTGCTCGCATCATGTATAAGGAGTTTAGGAGCTTCTCCAGGTTTCTGCAGGTACCAACTCATATCATCACCAACTCCACTAGTTCCAGTACAGCTAATAGAGACACTCTTTCCTGCTTCAACAGACACAAACTCAGGAGACTGAACCTCTTGATGGGAAACTGAAGAAAGAGAGAAAATAAAAAGACAAAAAATACTAAAACAGTGTTTGTTTTGAAATTATATTCTTATCAGACTCAACACTTCAGAAGAGTGTAGAACCAAAAGTGCTCTCACCTTGAGGAAAGAAGGTCAGAGTGGTCAGCAGTAGAATCAGTGTGGTCATCATTGTGCTGTGTGTGAGTGAGTCTGAAAGGACTGAAGTCTCCAGTGTTGATCACACCAGCTCTCTTAAAGTGTGTGGAGCTGTGATCATGCAAAACCCTCTTCTATCAGCTGAACTTCCTGTCTTTCACATGCAGTAACTACCAAAGTTCATCACTGGAGATCATGAGACTTTTTTCATTATATAATTTTAAATACCAGTATTTGTCAATTTAATTTGCTCAAGATGTGTTTTTTCAACAGTGCTGAAGTATTAAAATCACTCCACAATCAAGTACTGTAGTACACAGTGAAAGCTTTGTTTGTTTGTTTTCTTTTTTAAGATAACTTTTTCTTTATTTTTCATATGTTTAGTTTTTCTCCTTTTCATATTCATGTTTTAGGCATTTTGGCGAAATCTGTCACTGAAAGCAGCTTCCTGCATATGATCACTGCAGTTTTCTATCATTAGCCAATAAATGTACACACATCAATTCATGTAGTCTCTTTCTCTCTCTCTCTCTCTCTCTCTCAAATGACAACAGTACAATATTCCAGTAGGGGGCGATAAGCTGCTATAAAGTTTATCTTCACAGCAGAGTTCAGCTTGTTGTGTCTGTCAGAATCTGTCTGGAGATTTTTGGATGGTGAGTCTAAGAGATTCACTCCTGGACTTTTGGAGGAGCATCCAAACTCAGTGTCATAAGTATGTGCAGAAAAATAAGCCTATAAGGATATTAGATTTAGAAATATGGGAGTAAAAGTAGAGTAGAAGACTTTATTAGTCATTAGATACACAGTGATTGTAAAAGGCAGTGATATGAGCTCACTTTAAATTCTAGTGTAGACTTTTTGGCTGATTACTTGTTTTCTGCATCTGAAAGCTTTTTTTGTTGTTTTTTTATTGGAATGTTTTGGTTGTAACTAAGGTCAGACAAAGAGAAAAGAAAACTGATAAACCGAGGAAGACACAATGTTGAACAATGCAAGTAGACGTTAATGCTATAAATATCTATAAATCATGAAACATCATCTGTGATGTGTTTTGGGTTTTCTGGTTAATGAAGCTGCTATAAATCATAAATTAGATCATTGTGTGTAGCAGGTTTGAGTTGTTCTAGTTAAACAGTGCAGCTTTAGTGCAGGAGGTTTTTGTACAGACACTGAATGAGGTTGTATTACTGTGGTGGACTTTTGGTGGAGGAACTTGACTCTCTGTTGGAAGTAAGTCATTTTCTTCTTATTATAATGTATAATTCAATACAAAATTAAATAGAACAAAAAAATAGCAAACCATATACAGTGATGTGTGAAAGTTTTAACTTTTCTGGTCAAATTATGTATTTTTTGATGTCCTAAGTAAAAATAAGTGAACACATCCTTTACAGCAAACACACTAAAATAAATAATCTGTTTCCAACATGTTAAATTTAGCAAATAAACAGAGATTGTGCATTAAGATGTGCAGAAGTCTGTTCTCTGTAGAGGATGAGTTTTACTTTATTTATTTTTTACTCAGAAAATCAACAAAATATGTCATTTGACCAGGGGCGCCTGTACATGACAGTATATATAATTCCTTCCAGTTACTTTAGTTCAATGTATTTTAATTAATTTTTGTATTTATGTTTTTCATCAATAATTTAATTTAAAAAATATGAAAAAACACTGACATGTCATATTTGAGTTTGTTCTCTGTAGAGAATGTAGAAAATCAGCAAAACATATCATTTGATCAGTAGTGCCCATACTTTACATTCGACTGTATAGAGTCATTATTCCTATAAATTATTAAATCACTAGACCTACACTGATTAATGAATAATAACCGGTTAAATAATAATAAATATTTCATTAAATTAGTTGATTGATTTCTAATGTGAATGGTGTTTAATTAAAAATAACTCTCTAAATCACCCACTTTGTCTTTTTTGTATCAACATGTTGATTATTTACTATAAACTGTGAAATGTGTTTGAATGGTCTGCTGCTCTCAGTTCTGCTTTATGAACATAAAGTCTGTTAAAGGGAAGTGAAAGAGTCTCAGAATGACTGATAGAACTGAATGTGACTATTTTAGACAACAGAAACCCCTGACTATCATCTCTCTCTCTCTCTCTCTCTCTCTCTCTCTCTCTCTCTCTCCCTCTCTCTCTCTGCAGGTGATACTCGGCCTACCCTCACAGTGTTGCCCCCCTCCAGTGTGGAGCTGCAACAGGGGAAGGCTACATTGGTGTGTTTGGCTAACAAAGGCTTTCCTTCAGACTGGACGCTGAGCTGGAAGGTGGACGGTAACAGCCAGACATCAGGTGTGAGTGTGAGTGGGGGTGTGCTGGAGAAGGGAAACGACCTCTACAGCTGGAGCAGCACCCTGAGCCTCACTGAGAAGCAGTGGAGGAACATACGAGCAGTGAGCTGTGAGGCCAGACAGGGCAGCCAAAGCCCAGTCACCCACAGCATGACCACACAGCAGTGCACTGACCTCTGAGAGTTCTAGAGATACTTAGACACGTATTCTCTATCAGTCTACACTGTTTTAGTGTTTCTGCTGATGAGCTCTGACAGTTTTTCAGCTTCATTTCAGATTTTATTGTCATCAATTATGACTTTATTTCATTGCCTGAATGATGTGCTTTAATATTTGGTTGCAAAATAAAAGCTTTTTGAATCAAAACTGTGTTGGACCATCTTCACTCTGGTAATATTTTCATGATGCAGACAGATGAGATTATTATCTGTATTTGAAGAAAATCAAAAAGTATTTGGAAAAATATAAAACACTTATCACATAAACAACTCCTGATATTTTTATTATTATATATATATATACTATGTGCATTGTATCAGTGTTATCTGATGTTGTGCTCTGCTGTATCAGTGATTAGATAAATAACAGCTCTTATAAACGGCTCTATAATTAAATAAATTGGCAGAGATTCCTATTTGTTTATAAAGTTTATCACTGTAGTCTCTGAGTGACAGATCTGAATCTGTGCTTCTGCTCATGGACTCAAACCCACTGAGTCTCTTGCTGAGTGTCAGAGTGATATTCATCCTTCATACTTTTAATACCTTAAACACTGTTTAGTCTGGAATGCTGGAGTCACATGTGAGGACGTGTGTTTGTCAGAGTCGACTCTGAAGCGTATCATCAGTTCCAGCTGCAGCAGTGCAGAGTGACTGAGGGAGGTTTTTGTATGATGCTTATTCACTGTGTGAACATTGAGCTACCACTGATCACATGATAAGTCATACAGTAATAATCTCCAGAATCTTCAGCCTGGACTCCACTGATGGTCAGAGTGAAGTCCAGACCATTCCCTCCTGATGAAGGATGACCTCCACCACCACTGAATTTAGAGGAAACTCCAGATTCTCTCTCATCTGAATAATATATCAGAAGCTTTGGCACTTCTCCAGGTTTCTGAAGGTACCATGATGTAAAATAACGGCCCTTGGAAGTTGTCCCTTGCTCATTATGATAAACTACAGTGTTTGATTTGCAGTCAATAGTGACTGAATGACCAGGCTGAGCTGATTTAGCTGCAGTTTGAGTGACCGCAAACTGCCCCAAAGAGCCTGCAGAGATAAAGAAGCAGTGTGATTATATCTGTTTAGTAAAATAACTACATGAGCATTCTTTATTATAAAATGCTCTTAAATATGAATAATTTACTGAGAAGTATAATAATTATCAAGTGTAACTGATAGAAATGTTCTTACCAAAAGTAGATGTAACAATCATCCAGATGAAGATGGTGATTAAAGTCATGATGGCTTTTTGATGTGTGATCATGTAGATCAGCTCTCAGTCATGAAGTGTTGAACTGACAGAGCTATAAACTCTCCCAGAGCACTGAGGCATGAGCTGCTAATGCAAAGTGTCTTCAGCAAGAAAATCATCTTCCTGACTGCAGAAACAGATGAACTATAGCAGAAGATATATTGCTATAAAAATATAAGTAGTAAGAGTGAATGTATTTTTCTAGATGATACAGAAACTATTAGTCAACAGTAGCATCATATTATTATACATTAATAAATACATTGTACAATATCATTGAAATGGTCACTCAATGCGAGAATATTCTTCATACTCAAGACTGTGAAGGCATGTGAGGTGATTTTCTGATAAAACATACATTTTTAAATTCTAGACTCAATTTTCTGTACAATTTTCTGTCATGCTCTGCTGAGCAGAGATATCGCAAAGTATTGTCCTTAAGTACAGCACAGTACTTGAGTACTCACTGATCAATTTACTATAAACACTGTCACTATCACTCTTATGGTAACTGTTAATTATTTGTTTTTTGAACCAAAAACAAACATTTAATTTTTTTAAAGATTTCTGATGTTCCAAGGGTGTAACGAAGAGGGTTCTCAGAAGAAACTCGTGGAGACAAGGTCACAAGGACACACGGCCACGGTCCATACTCAGCTTTAGTCAAACACCTTTCAAAAAGAGCAGATCTGTGTTTACCTTAGCAGCTACTGCTTAGAATCAACAGCTTAGCACTCCTTTGTTTACTCCAGGCTATGAGAAGTCTCTCAAAACCATTCCTCCTAAAGAAACCCAGCCCCCCACTTAGACTAAGAGTCCCTGCAGATAAAAATGCTTATGGGGGTTCTAATCAACTAAATTAGTCTATAGTCTTGAATGTTTTTTTAAATAGAGTTGGATCTTTTTATAAGATAAAAGAGGAATCAAATATAACATTTATATAAATAATAATATAAAATATTACCTCAACTCTGAGTGATTGTCCAAGAGTCAACCCTGACTCCGAGACATGAGTCAGTGTCAATAAATTACTTCTTTTCCAGTTGTCTTTCTCTATTAAGAGTGTTTTACTGCAATGAAAGTTTGAGAAGAAATGAAAAAGTAAACCTTAGGTATTTTACTTTTACTGTGTTTTACAGCTTAAAAACATCTTGTTAGATGATTAATCATATTAATTAATTGATTAGTAATTATTGTAAACTGTGTTGTAAACTGTACTGTACTGTTAGCAGCTCTAACAGTAGACAGGTATGTTGGGTTTAGTGTTGGATTAGCTAATGTTAACGTTTGTTTAGGCAAGAAAAAGCCAAAATGACATTAACGTTAATGTTGTTTTTACCCATAATGTCACTGCACATTAATGTTAATGCATGGTTGTAATGTGAGCTCATCAGTTGTTGGCAGTAAGATTGTGCATATATTAGCTAGTTAGCCTGTTTTGTCAGAGCTTAAACTGGCTTCTCATTTAAATTTTCCATTTCTCCCTAAATGGTGTAGCAGAATGCAGGTGTCTGAATGTACCTGTTACACCAGTCAAGGTGGAACCGAAAATTATGCATAAGAAGCTGGTGAAAAAAAGAAAACAGTGTCAAAACATTGTAATATGCAGATTAGTGTTATTACAATCAGACATACCAGCACTTACAGCATACAGCAGTTTTTATAATCAGCTGGTATTTATACATGCAGTTCATTCTTTTGTAGGAGAGGTAGATAAAGAACTGACCGATGTTTTTACAGTCTTTAGTGAAGGTGCTCTGGAATCTAGAGGACAGGTTATGTAACCATGTGACCATGTAAAATGGGCTCATAAAATATATTGATGAAATATATATTGATAAAAGGGGTCATGGGGTTTGATAAAATATATTGACACAGATATAACAGCAATAATGAATAAAGTTATTATTATTATTATTATTATTATTATTATTATTATTATTACTATTATTATTATTATTATTATTATTGTTGTTATTATTATTATATGTCCATATAAATGATTTTTACACTTAGAAGTTGATGAGACGTCACAGTTAGTAGGTCTAATAGACTACATTTCTTGGTTAATTAATTAAAATACACCAGTCACTTAGTGAAGAAATAGATTCAGTCATAGGCAGGTAGGTTTGGTTGGTCCCATAAAAAGAAGAAACTAATTATTATTCAGTTTGCTGAACCAATTAAAATTCCAGTCATTCATTGGTTGTTGTGCATATGCTATCACATGATGCAACAGGCATTACCAATCACACATTCTCAAACACCCTAACGTAAAAACAAAAAATCTGTATCAAAAAGATATTTATTGGCTAAAAGCACTTTTTCTTCATCTTCATTGGTGTTGATGATTTTCTGACAAACATATTGAATGTTTCTTGTCAGTTTGAGGCACGCTTGAGGTTTGAAATACTTAAACTGGAGTAATGGGGTAGACAGGACCCCCAAGATCAATTTTCTTTAGCTTATGTGGGTTCTTTTTATCTTTTGAAATGTCCAGGACCCCCCAGCCTACCCTTTTTATGAATCTTGCTGCCCTATAGTGTCATATTTGTCAATGACATTATTCTATAAATCACTTAAGTAGGTACAGAGTTCTGGCATGCATTTGTGTCTCTTCATCTCCCCTCAACACCTGCAGTAGATGCAGCTGCAGCAGTGTAGTCTCTGTACAGTCTGACTGAGGGAGGTTTTTGTATGACACTTTTTCACTGTGTGATCCTTGTACTACCATAGTAACCCATACAGTAATAATCTCCTGCATCCTCAGGCTGAACTCCACTGATGGTAAACTGAAAGTTAAGCCCTGAATATGAACCACTGAATCGTTCTGGAACTCCAGACTGACGTGTGCTCGCATCATGTATAAGGAGTTTAGGAGCTTCTCCAGGTTTCTGCAGGTACCAACTCATATCATCACCAATTCCACTAGTTCCAGTACAGCTAATAGACACACTCTTTCCTGCTTCAACAGACAGAAACTCAGGAGACTGAACCTCTTGATGGGAAACTTAAGAAAGAGAGAAAACAAAAAAATAAAAAAATAAAAAAAATATTAAAACATGGTTTGTATTAAAATTACACTGTTATCAGACTCAACACTTCAGAAGAGTGTAGAAATCAATGTGCTCTCACCTTGAGGAAAGAAGGTCAGTGTGGTCAGCAGTAGAATCAGTGTGGTCATCATTTTGCTGTGTGTGAGTGAGTCTGAAAGGACTGAAGTCTCCAGTGTTGATCACACCAGCACTCTTAAAGAGTGTGGAGCTGTGATCATGCAAAACCCTCTTCTATCAACCGCATTTCCTGTCTTTCATATGCAGTAACTACCAAAGTTCATAACTGGAGATCATGAGACTTTTTCATTAAATAACTTTAAATACCATTATTTGTCAATTTAATTTGCTCAAGATGTGTTTTTTCAACAGTGCTGAAGTATTAAAATCACTCCACAATCAAGTACTGTAGTACTTTGTTTGTTTGTTTTCTTTTTTAAGATGACTTTTTCTTTATTTTTCATATTTTTAGTTTTTCTGCTTTTCATATTCATCTTTCAGGCATTTTGACAAAATCTGTCACTGAAAGCAGCTTCCTGTGTATGAACACTGTAGTTTCTGTCATTAGCAGATAAATGTATCTCCTCATATGGCCACAGTGCAGTTTTCCAGTAGGGGGCGATAAGCTGTTATAAACTTTATCTTCTGCCAGACTTTCAGCTTTTAGCTTGTTATGTCTGTCAGAATCTGTCTGGAGGTTTTTGGATGGTGAGTTAATGAGATTAACTCTTGGACTTTTTGAGGCACATCCAAACTCAGTGTTGAAAGTAAGTGCAGAAAAACAAGCTGTTAAAGATATTAGCAATGTACAGTAGAAGACTTTATTAGTCATTAGATACACAGTGATGGTAAAAGGCAGTGGCATGAGCTCACTTTGAATATTAATCTATACTTTCTGGCTGATTACTTGTTTTCTGCCTCTAAAAGCCATTTTTATTGGAATGTTTTGGTTGTAACTAAGGTCAGATAAAGGGAAAAGAAAACTGATAAACTGAAGGAGTCACAATGTTCAACAAAGCAAGTGGAAGTAAATGCTGTAAATAGCTGTAAATCTTATATTAGAAACATCATCTGTGATGTGTTTTGGGTTTTCTGGTTAATGGAGCTGCTATAAATCATAAATGAGATCATTGTGTGTAGCAGGTTTGAGTTGTTCTAGTTAAACAGTGCAGCTTTAGTGCAGGAGGTTTTTGTACAGACACTGAATGAGGTTGTATCACTGTGGTGGACTTTTGATGGAGGAACTCGACTCTCTGTTGGAAGTAAGTCATTTCCTTCTTATTATAATGTATAATTTAGTACAAAATAAAATAGAGAAAAATAGAGAAAAAAGAGAAAACCGTATACACTGATGTGTGAAGGTTTTAACACTTCTGGTCATGACATATTTTTTGATGTCCTAAGCAAAAATAAGTGAACACTTCCTTTACAGTGAATGCACTAAAATAAATAATGTGTTTTTAATACGTTAAATTCAGCAAATAAACAGAGATTGTGCATTAAAATGTGCAGAAGTCTGTTCTCTGTACAGGATGAGTTTCATTTCATTTTACTTACAAAATCAACAAAATATGTCATTTGACCAGGGGCGCCTGTGAAAAGAGTCTCAGAATAGACTGATAGAACTGAATATGACTATTTCAGACAATAGAAACTCCTGACCATCATCTCTCTCTCTCTCTCTCTCTCTCTCTCTCTCTCTCTCTCTCTCTCTCTCTCTCTCGCTCTCTCTGCAGGTGACTCTCGGCCCACCCTCACAGTGTTGCCCCCCACCAGTGTAGAGCTGAAGCAGGGAAAGGCTACACTGGTGTGTTTGGCCAACAAGGGTTTCCCCTCAGACTGGACGCTGAGCTGGAAGGTGGAGGGTATCAGCCAGACGTCAGGTGTGAGTGTGAGTGGGGGTGTGCTGGAGAAGGGAAACGGCCTCTACAGCTGGAGCAGCACCCTGAGCCTCACTGAGCAGCAGTGGAAGAACATACGAGCAGTGAGCTGTGAGGCCACCCACAGCCTGACCACACAGCAGTGCACTGATGTCTGAGAGTTCTAGAGATACTTAGACACGTATTCTCTATCAGTCTACACTGTTTTAGTGTTTCTGCTGATGAGCTCTGACAGTTTTTCAGCCTCATTTCAGACTTTATTGTCATCAATTATGACTTTAATTCATTGCCTGAATGATGTGCTTTAATATTTGATTGCAAAATAAAAGCTTTTTAAATCAAAACTGTGTTGGACACAGTATAAAAAAAAATATAAAAAAATATAAAACACTTATCACATAAACAATTCCTGATATTTTATTTAAATCCTGTGAAGTTTACCAAAGTGTTGAGGGTGTAGAAACTCTACCGTGTTGTATATCATATATATACTGTGAGTGTGAGCTGTATCAGTGTTATCTGATGTTGTGCTCTGCTCTATCAGTGATTAGATAAATAACAGCTCTTTGTTTATAAAGTTTATCACTGTTGTCTCTGAGTGACAGATCTGAATCTGTGCTTCTGCTCATGAACTCAAACCCACTGAGTCTCTTGCTGAGTGTCAGGCTAAGTGATATTTGTCCTTCATACTTTTAATACCTTAAACACTGTTTAGTCTGGAATGCTGGAGTCACTTGTGTTGTTGAGGTCCATTAATGTCAGCATGAGAGCAACACATTAGCCCATGTAGAGTTTAGTCAGGCTAAAAATCTTTGATTGATGGCCTTGACTGATAAACAAATTAGTCACCAAGTAACTTAACATTGTCACTAATGTAACTCAACTGGTAGCTATGATGTTTTATTCCCCTTTCCTCATACACAATGGGTAAGGTTAGAGCTAGTTAAGATTCATCACATACAAGCCTTTAATAAATTAGATTGTTGAGCTGTACCAACCATCACAACTAGTATATAGTGGTGGATACCATCACTGCTCTGCATGTAGCAGACTGGGCTTTTATTCTTCGTTCAGATAAGAACACCATACTATAACGATAAGAGTCACTGGGCTCGACTTCTCATGCTTCAGTTACTTTCCAACATAACATAATTGAATTAGTAACTTTTGATAAGAATATCTGCTAAATGCTACAAATGTACAGTGAAGAATGCCGGTTCTTTAACTGTTACTTGTAGTGTTATATGCAAATTTTAGGTGCCCTTGGTAAAATTACAGATTTCGTTGATTTTATTAGTGAAAATAAGTACACATCTCTATATTTAAATGCACAATTACTGTCTACTTGCGGAATTTGACATAATACCATGATATATGTAATAAAAAAGAGGCCTGTGCACTAAAATAGGCATATCTTTTTTACCACATGTTAAGCTCAGCAAAAAAAAAAACAAAACAAGACAGACAGATGTGTTAGTTTATTTTTTAGTTTTAGAAAAATAACAAAATATGTCATTTGACCAGGGTTGTTTTGGCATAACACAGAATATGTTTGTCAAGAACATTTTTCTATTAATTACTGTATTTACCGCACAGTTCCAGCATTCGCTTTATTTCTGTCTAATGTCTACAAAATTAATTAGAATAGCAGATTGTACTAGCTTTCGATGTTGGAGATTTCAGAGCATATCTGTGCTTGCGTTGTCAGATATTAGACTATAAAGTATTTATCTGTTATATCTAGTGAGCTGTGTTTTTCACAGTGTTCCTTACCTGAATTTGTTCATTACCAAAGTTCATTGAGCCTAAAGTATCATTTACAAGTAAAACCCAATGCTGACTGTGCTGGATGTTATGTGAGAACTATGGATAAATCTTTGGTATGAAATACAGAATTTCTCAAAATTAAAAATCTGGGGTGTCCCTGAATATAATCTTATTATGTTGTTATTTATTTATTTTGAGATGTTTCTGCAGTTTCTGAAGGGTTTTTACAGCTGTAGAGCCTTTAGCTTATCTAAATAAACTGTTGTGCTGAGCTGCATTTTTCTGCAGAGAGTATGAAGTGTTTTGAAAAAGTTTACAGTAAAAAATGTTTCTTAGTGATTGTAAAAAACTGTAACCATTTTACAGCTCTGTTATAAACACAGCTATAGAACATGTGAGGACGTGTGTTTGTCAGAGTTGACTCTGATTAAGCGTATCATCAGTTCCAGCTGCAGCAGTGCAGAGTGACTGAGGGAGGTTTTTGTACGATGCTTTTTCACTGTGTGAACACATAGCTACCACTGATCTCATGTACAGTCATACAGTAATAATCTCCAGCATCTTCAGCCTGGACTCCACTGATGGTCAGAGTGAAGTCCAGACCATTCCCTCCAGATGAAGGATGACCCCCACCACCACTGAATTTAGAGGAAACTCCAGAAAATCTCTCATCAGAAAAATATATCAGAAGCTTTGGCACTTCTCCAGGTTTCTGAAGGTACCAGGATGTATAATAATGGCCTTTTGAATATGTATCCTACTCATTCTGAGAAACTGCTGGGTTGGATTTGCAGTCAATAGTGACTGAGTGACCAGGCTGAGCTGATTTAGCTGCAGTTTGAGTGACCACAACCTGCCCCAAAGAGCCTGCAGAGATAAAGAAATGGTGTGAATATAAATGTTTAATAAAATAACTACATGTATGATCTTTATTATAAAATGCTCTTAAATATGAAAAATTTACTGAAAACTAAAAAAAAAAAAAATCAAGTGTAACTGATAGAAATGTTCTTACCTAAAGTACATGTAACAATCATCCAGATGAAGATGGTGATTAAAGCCATGATGGCTTTTTGATGTGTGATCATGTAGATCAGCTCTCAGTCATGAAGTGTTAAACTGACAGAGCTATAAACTCTCCCAGAGCACTGAGGCATGAGCTGCTAATGCAAAGTGTCTTCAGCAAGAAAATCATCTTCCTGACTGCAGAAACAGATGAACTATAGCAGAAGATAGTTTACTTTAAATACTTAAGTAGTAACAGTGAACGTATTTTTCCAGATGATATAGATACTATCAGTCAACAGTAGCACCAGATTATTTAAGTGATAGAACACTAGAAGTTATGTGTTAGATCATCACAGCCGTGATGTTACTTGCGATAACACACAACCTCGAGTGTTCTATTGTTTTTATACAATGTTTTTTTTTTATAAAATAAAGAAACAAAATTAATCAAAGAAGCCCTGAATTTCATACTCAATATGCTTTAATACTGACAATACCCTCTGCCACAAAGTAGTTTCGCAACAAACAAGTTGTTGCTATGCAACAGTAATAATTTGCTGCCCAGGGGTCAGCAATGTGGCTCTTTTACTGCCCTGTTGTGGCTCCACAACAGAACTAGAAATTTAGGTAACAATAAAATAATCCTCCTTTGCGGTGAAATAAAGCTCTGATCAATTCTAACACAGTTTTAACAATAAAACACTGGAGTTAATGTGTCAGGCATCATTTAAGGTGTAACGGGTGATTCAAATGTAAAAAGTCGAACGTGAGACACATTTTACAAGAAGCTATTCATTTTGCAAAAATGTTTCCTGCTGGTGGTGCAAAAAAGCGACTATAGCTGAAAGGTTAAAGCAGAGCAAAGTAAGTCTGTGTTTATGTTTATTTATATTTTAGCCCATACTAGTACATCAGCACGTACTGAGACACATTTACAGATCAAAATGGTAAAATGGACATAAAATATTGTGGCTCCCAAGGTGGTTTGTTTTTTGCTGAAAGAACAAAATGGCTTTTCTTAACATTTGGGTTATGACCCCTACCCTGGCCTGTTGAGGCCCTGTGCGCATTCCAAGACAACTGCTGATACTATAAAGCTCACTGTAGACATATCAAGTTCACCTAAGCCTTTTCAGTTGCTGCCAAATTAACCTGAATATCATTTTGTAACAGCCAGTCTCTAAAGCGCTTTGTAGCCAATCTTACATTTACATTTACATTTACTGCATTTAGCAGACGCTCTTATCCAGAGCAACTTACAAAAAGTGCTTTGTCTATATAGAGAAAGTATCTTTGCTAGTTACCAATAGGTTAGAGAGAAAGCTCCTGGGTGCCAGTACAATCTTGTTTGCCGAATTGTACTCTTGTTTGTTTCTATCCAATTCCAGCGTGTTCAGTTGTTCTGCCGTCACTGGATTCGACCTGGCAGTTTTATGGTAATGGCAGATTTAGAATTTGATGTGCATCTGCAGTCACAGTCTTCTTCAGAGACTGGCCAAACAGGCAGCAGCTCAAATATTGTCTTAAAATCATCAGTTTTATCAGTGTCTTGTTTTGTATAAGCACAAATACAAAATAACTAAGGTTTGTGCGCATAAAGCTTGTTGTTTCTTGGCAACGCGTCAGCGGAGTGATACAGTTTTGGTGTGAAAAAGCTGTGCTGTTATCACAAATATCAGCACGGTTAGAGCGCTTCTCAACCAATCAGACTCTAAGTTCGGAATTAACTGTTATATAATGTATATTAATACATACCATGTGCAATATCGTTGAAATGGTCACCCAACGCAAGAATATTCTTCATACTCAAAACAGTCTGGAAAGGCATGTGAGGTGATTTTCTGATAAAACATTTCTAAATTCTAGACACAATTTTCTGTGCACTAAACATTTCTTTCACAGTCTTTTTGTTTTGTTTATTGTAACAGTCTGTATCTGACGTATGACATTGTCAGCTACGAAAAACTTGTTTTCTATCATGCATATTTGAAGTTTGACTGATAATGCAGATTTGGATATGAACACTATCAATATTACTATCACTATCACTATCACTATCATAGTAACTTTGTTAGTGTTTTGAACCAAAAACCATCATTTTACTTTTGCAGAGAATTCTAATGTTCCAAGAGTGTAACGAAGAAGATTCTCAGAAGAAACTGGTGGACAAGGTCACAGTTCATACTCAGCTTTACTCAAACTCCTCAAAACAGAAAACAGGAAAACAGCAGACCTGTGTTTAGCTTAGCAGCTACTACTCAGAATCACCTAGCTTAGCTTAGCACTGCTCTGTTTACTCTAAAACTAAACTCTAAACTACTCTAAACTAAATTAGCCTATAGCTCTGAATAATTTTTCAGTAGACTTGGATCTTTTTCTAAGAGTCTCTGTAAATATATTCTTTTCCAGTCATCTTGCCCTATTAAGAGTGTATTACTGCAGTGAAAGTTTGAAAAAAGTAAGCCTTAGGCCTTTTACTTTTATGGTGTTTTACAGCTTAAAAACATCTTGTTAGATTAACTCAGAAAAGTTAATCTTATTAATTAATTGATTTGTTACCCATTTCACACTGTGCTGTAACCTGTGCTGTACCTTTAGCAGCTCTAACAATAGACAGGCATATCGGGTTTAGTGTAGACTAGCTAATGTTAACATTTGTTTATGCTAGAAAAAGCTCAAATGACATTAACGTTAACATTGTTTTTACCCATAATGTACCTTAACGTTAATGCATGGTTGTAACATGAACTCATCAGTTGTTAGACAAAAGATGGTGCCTATATTAGCTAGTCAACCTGTTTTGTCAGGGCTTAAAATGGCTTCTTGTTCAAATTGTCCATTCCACCTTAAATGGTGTAGCAGAATGCAAGTGTCTGAATGTAACTTCTACACCGTTTAAGGTGGAACAGATTTTTTTTCCATAAGAAGCTGGTGAAAAAGAAGAACAGAAGGACAAAACATTGTAATATGCAGATTAGTGTTATTATAATAAGGCATGTCAGCACTTATAGCATACAGCAGTTTTTCTAATCAGCTGGTATTTATACATGCAGTTCATTCTGTTGTAGGAGAGGTAGATAAAGAACTGACCAATGTTTTTACAGTCTGTAGTGAAGGTGCTCTGGAATCTAGAGGGCAGGTTATGTAACCATGTGATCATGTAAAATCTTTTTTTTTTCTGTGTCTTCATTGGTGTTGGTAATTTTCTGTCAAATATATTCAAAGTGTCTCATCTGTTTAAGATGTGCTAGAGTTTTGATATACTTAAACTGGAGTAATGGAGTACACAGGACCCCCAAGATTGATTTTCTTTTTCTTATAACGGTGTCTCTTTTTGTCCAGGACCCCCGCACCTGCCCTCATTATGAATCTTGCTGCCAAACAGAGTCATATTTGTCAATAACATCATTTTATATATACCTTAAGTAAGTACAAAGTTCCAGCATGCATATTATAACCACCAAAGCTCAGGAAACATAATTAAAATAGCAGATGGTGTTAAATTTATACCATAGAGATTTCAGAACATTACTGTACTTTAATACCAAAGGAAACAAGGAAGTGTTCAGATTTTGGATTTTGTTCTCAATGTTGCTTACATTAAAGTCAGTAAGTGTTTTTTTAGTTGTGTGTGGAAGTGAAAGTTAATATGAAGAGGCTGTGTTTGTGTGTGTTATACTCTGTGTCTCTTCTTCTCCCTTCACACCTGCAGTAGATGCAGCTGCAGCAGTGCAGTCTCTGTACAGTCTGACTGAGGGAGGTTTTTGTACAACACTTTTTCACTGTGTGTTTCTGTCTCTATAAGCTCCCATACAATAATAATCTCCTGCATCCTCAGGCTGGACTCCACTGATGGTCAGTTGAAAGTTAAGCCCTGAATATGAACCACTGAAACGTTCTGAGACTCCAGACTCACGTCTGTTTGCCTTATAAATCAGGAGTTTAGGAACTTCTCCAGGTTTCTGCAGGTACCAACTCATATCATCATCAACTCCACTAGATCCAGTACAGCTAATAGAGACACTCTTTCCTGCTTCAACAGACAGAAACTCAGGAGACTGAACCTCTTGATGGGAAACTGGAGAAAGAGACAAAAATAACAAATTAAAGAATAATATAATCTGAAAAATGGTAAAACAGTGTTTGTTGTGAAATTACATTCTTATCAGACTCAACACTTCAGAAGAGTGTAGAAATAAATGTGCTCTCACCTTGAGGAAAAAAGGTCAGTGTGGTCAGCAGTAGAATCAGTGTGGTCATCATTGTGCTGTGTGTGAGTGAGTCTGGAAGGACTGAAGTCTCCAGTGTTGATCACACCAGCACTCTTAAAGTGTGTGGAGCTGTGATCATGCAAAACGCTCTTCTATCAGCTGCACTTCCTGTCTTTCACATGCAGTAACTCACACAGCTCATCACTGCAGATACTTCTTGCATCATATAAATATGAATAGTGTCATTTGTCATTTTAATTTGCTCAAGATGTGTTTTTTCAACAGTGCTGAAGTATTAAAATCACTCCACAGTCATGTACTGTAGTACACAGTGAAAACCTTTTTTTTTTCAACTTTTCATATTAATGTTTCAGGCATAATGATAAAATCTGTCACTGATACAAAGGTTCCTGCATAGGAACCATTATAAAAGAAAACTGTGTTTTCTGTCATTAACATATAAATGTACTGTACACTTATCACTTCATATAGTCTACCCCTTTGTCTCTCTTTCTCTCTCTCTCTCTCCTCATATGGCCACTGTGCAGTTTTCCTGTAGGGGGCCATAAGCTGTTTAAATTTTATCTTCTCACCAGAGATCAGCTTGTTGTGTCTGTCAGAATCTGGAGGTTTTTGGATAGTGAGTCAATGAGATTCATTCTTGGACTTTTTGAGGAGCATCAAACTCAGTGTTGTAGGTAAACGCAGAAAAACAATATTTTAAAGATATTAGATTTGAAAAATTAGGGTAATGTAAATGTAGAGTAGAAGACTTTATCAGTCATTAGATACACACTGATGGTTAAAGACTCTTGGAACTTGGAATTTGGCTGAAAATCAGTTTAGACTTTTTGGCTGATTAATTTTTTTCTCCTTGTGAAAGGATTCTTTTGAAAATTGGAAGGTTTTGGTTGTAACTAAAGTCAAATAAAGAGAAAAGAAAACTATGATAAACTGAAGGAGACACAATGTCCAACAATGCAAGTAGAAGTTAATATTGTAAATAGCTTTAAATCATAAATTAGAAACATCATCTGTGATGTGTTTTGGGGTTTCTGGTTAATGAAGCTGCTATAAATCATAAATTAGATCATTGTGTGTAGCAGGTTTGAGTTGTTCTAGTTAAACAGTGCAGCTTTAGTGCAGGAGGTTTTTGTACAGACACTGAATGAGGTTGTATCACTGTGGTGGACTTTTGGTGGAGGAACTCGACTCTCTGTTGGAAGTAAGTCATTTTCTTCTTATTATAATGTATAATTTAGTACAAAATAAAATAAGCAAAAAAAGCAAACCATTAACAGTGATGTGTGAAAGTTTTAACACTTCTGGTCAAATTACATTTTTTTTTATGTCATAAGTAAAAATAAGTGAACACATCCTTTACAGCGAACACAATAAAACAAATACTGCGTTTTTATTGAGTTAAATTCAGCAAATAAACAGATTTTGTGTATTAAAATGTGAGTTACTTCTTTTTACATAGAAAAACAACAAAAATGTCATTTGTCCAGGAATCCTGTACACAACTGTATATATAATTCCTTCCAGTTATTTTAGATCAAAATGTTTCAACTAATTCCTGTATTGATGTATTTTTGTATTTGTTTTTCTGTTACTAATCAATAATATAAATTTAAATGTATATATATATATATATATATATATATATATATATATATATATATATATATATCAAAAAGACACAATTGGGTTTTAGAGTTTAATTTATTTAGATTTTTAAAAAAATATTTTATATATATATATATATATATATATATATATATATATATATATATATTTTACAGACTTCTTATTTGTTCAGCAATTGATATTCAAATATTATATAGCTTTGATTCTTTTTTTTTTTTTCAGAATTATTGTTTGTTGTTTGGTTATTATTATATTACGAGTCTCACACTAATAAATAAGAGATTAAACACAGAGAAAACGTTGATTGTTTGCTATAAATGGTGAAATGTGTTTGAATGGTCTGCTGTTCTCAGTTCTGCTTTATGAACATAAAGTCTGTTAAAGGGAAGTGAAAGAGTCTCAGAATGACTGATAGAACTGAACATGACTATTTCAGACAACAGAAACTCCTGACTATCATCTCTCTCTCTCTCTCTCTCTCTCTCTCTCTCTCTCTCTCTGTCTGTCTACTCTTTCTCTCATTGCTCTCTCTCTCTCTCTCTGCAGGTGACACTCGGCCCCCTCCAGTGTGGAGCTGCAGCAGGGGAAGGCTACACTGGTGTGTTTGGCCAACAAGGGCTTCCCCTCAGACTGGACGCTGAGCTGGAAGGTGGACGGTATCAGCCAGACATCAGGTGTGAGTGTGAGTGGGGGTGTGCTGGAGAAGGGAAACGGCCTCTACAGCTGGAGCAGCACCCTGAGCCTCACTGAGCAGCAGTGGAGGAACATACGAGCAGTGAGCTGTGAGGCCAGACAGGGCAGCCAAAGCCCAGTCACCCACAGCCTGACCACACAGCAGTGCACTGACCTCTGAGAGTGTACTATATACACAATCAGCAGTGCACTGACCTCTGAGAGGGTCCAATTTACAAAAAGTGTATTAGGCACAGACATACATACACATCCACTATCAGTCTGCACTGTTTTAGTGTTTCTGCTGATGAGCTCTTAAATATTTTCCAGCTCTATTTCAGTTTTATTGTCATCAATTATGACTTTAATTCTTTGCTTAAATGATGTGCTTTAATATTTGGTTGCAAAATAAAAGCATTTGAATCAAAACTGTGTTGGTCCATCTGCATTTTGTTTGGAAATATTTGCATGATGTAGACAGATGAACTTATTATCTACATCAAAATGTTTATAGTTTACTGTAGTGTTACAGTTACTGTAGAAACTCTACAGCGTCTTCTGATCTGGAAATGAATCATCGATTGGTGGGGGGGGTTTCTTCACAGTACTTTTTGTCTCACTTTATAACAGTCTGGCTGTTGTATTGATGTATTGAAGAGACTCATAGACTCTCAGAATGTGTAGTATGTGCAGCTGAGAACGTTAAGAGGGGTTTTGAGAGGATTAGAGTTTGGTGTAAAAAGTGTGTGTGGTGTGAAAACTGGGTGAATGTCTCACTATAAATAAAAGGGGTTTAGCAAAATTTACTTAGTAATCTATAAGAAACAAGCTATAATAATGGTAGGTCACATTTTTTTAATTGAACTGAACAGCTTGTGTATTAAAAAGAATCTTCTGAGAATTCATTCAATGCATTAAATTTAGCAAGTAGCAAACAAATTCGACCCCTATATTCTGTAGTTGAAAGGCTATCAAACTGCAATATCCTTTAAGTAAGAGAATTTAAGAGGAGGCTGCTATATCATAACTATTGACACAATAATCACAATAACCTGATGAGCAACTATTTATACTTGTTTCATTAATTTTTTTAAATAATGTAAAACAATGAAGTGGGACTGATAAAAGTAATTGTTTAATAAAATCAAATCGTACACTTACACTTGCTTTGTGAGATGATTAACCTTAACAGAGAAAACAGAAGATTTATTTCCTTGATATGAGATCATTTCATTTTTAGTTTTAAATGAGATAAACGCTGCTTATCTGTCCATCACATATATTTGTTGTGAAGCTCTACATAACTTAATGCAATTCTATAATTCACAGTAGTCATGATGTAACTAGATGATGATATAATGTTTAGTTCAGTTTATACTCTGTGTAAGTGCTTATTCAGTCTGAGCTGATCAGATGATGATGCTGTGAGTGTGAACTGTATCGGTGTTATCAGATGTTGTGCTCTGCTGTATTTTAAACAGCTCTCTAATGAACTAAAACAGTAGAGACTCCAGTTTGTTTATAAAGTTCATCACTGCAGTCTCTGAGTTACAGATCCTGAAACTGTCCTTCTGCTTATGAACTAAAGCACACTAAGACTTAGATTCCTGCTGAGTGACAGTCATACTTTGAAGTGCTTTATACTTTAACTACCTTAAACAGTGTTTAGTCTGGCATGCTGGAGTCACTTGCTTTGTCACAAAGAGGTCCAACACATTAGCCAACATAGTCTAGAGTTCACTAAGAAAAAAAAACTTTAATTGACCCCACTTATGAAAAAAAAGGTCTACTAAAAATGTTATTGTTTTTGTAACTTACTAACTTTTATTGTCACTAAAGCAACTTAACTGCTAACTATAATGTTTCACATATATATATGTTCCTTTATACACAGTAAGTTCACTGTTTGCTATAATTAAAATATTGGAATATAAATATGTAATATAAAACGTAGCCTGTGCAAAAGTTACGGCATATTTTATACTTCATATAGATGTTTTTCTGACACATTAAGTTCAGCAAATAAATGTTTACTAAAATTAGCAAAAAACTCTTTAAGTTTGTTTTTTGCAGATGATGTGTTGACGTATTTTACCTTAGAAAATCAACAAAATATATAATTTGAGAAGGGGTGTGAATATGCATATGACTGTATATGTTTGTCCAGAACATCATTCGTTTAATCACTGTAATTACTGATCAGTTCTGGGATTCTTTTTCTCTGCGTCTAATGTCCACCACATTCATTAAAACAGCAGACTGCTGGTTTTAGCCACTGGAGATATCAGAACATAACTGTGTTTGTGCTGTCAGACACTAAACTGGGAAGGGTAATTAACTGTATAAAAGTGACAGGGCTACAATTGTGGAGGAGTTGCATGCAGCCTCTGTTGCTCTCACTGGATGTCAGTCAAAATTGCATTAACATTTATTATGTTCACCCTGCGTTCATGTGACTTACATGGTCAGTTCATGCAGTCAGTATTCACTCCATGAAAAAGTGTTATTTAATTACTGAAAGAAATAAATACACCCTGATGAAACTTATTTTCTCCAATCATATGTCTGTAGCAAAATACACTAAATATAACTAAATATAATTATAAACTAAATATAAGTGAATATGCTTTCAGTTTACTTTTACTGTACTCATCAAAGATATATTAGACAAAATTATACTTAAGTATACTTGGGTTATACTGACAAGTATGCAGAAAGGTTTAAGTACATTTGGTTGATACTTGTACTCATACATATTGTAGCGAACACTGGCTGAAACTTTACCTCAAGCAGAGTGTTTACCCAAAAGTTAAGGGCCTTTTGGCTCCAGCAAGTCTGGAATTGAGGTGTAAATCTGTCTGCTTAATACCCCCAACCCCAGACTCAGTCAGATTTACAGCTGAATCAAGAACCAGCACCCCTCTCCCTTGACCTAGAGGGCGACAGGACAACGCCTCCCTGGAATATTGGCCACATGGCCCTCCAAAGTCCTGTGGACAGCTTTATCTTTAAGTAACAGAAAGTACATTTCTAAGGTATATGTCCACTCCAAACTGCAACCATTCGTTAGAACTCTTTTTAACTAAACTAGAGATACCAAAAATGGAACTCGGAAATGGTACGACTTTGGACGGCAAGGTTCAACTTTCTAAATTCCCTAGGGATCTCAAGCATGGACCCACAGCACCCCCAAGGGGTGAAACCGCGAATTACCACATCACCACCATAAGGAGTTGTGCTTATACGGAACCCAAGAAACTTCTTGCTTTGTCTGCTTGATTATCAACATTTATATAATCTGTAAGCAATACTACTTGTTGTATTAATCTTGTTGTTGTGTAGTACCTAAATATTACCTGTATCTTTTTCTACTATTAAGTGCTAGAAATACGTAGAGTATAACTTTGATAACAGTCAGACCCCTCCATTTAATTGCTATGAGTTTAGACCATTGATCAAGATGTATCCTGAATGTAGTTTTCTTTTCTTTTCTTCCTTTGTTCCTTTCCTTTTATTGTCGATTTTATTTCTTCATGCATTGGGTCATGTTCAGATATGATAAGCAAATATTACCTGTGTTCTTTGACATGTTTTGTATCAGGTAACAAGGGTTAAACTCTCTCTTAGAAACATGCCTGAATATCCTAGTTGTTCATTCCTTGATTTTGATTGACTGTGCTGAGATCAGGACAAAAGCTTATAATCCTGGTGGCCGGCTTCCAGGAGATTCCTCCTTCTTCCCTTGTTGATGGTTCCGCCTGACCAGCCAGACAAAGAGTTTCCAACACAAAGTAGCTGGGTCTACTTTCCGTGTAGTTGCTAGTCTATTGTGATGTTTTAAACTGTCGACTTTGGTGGTCTGTGAAGCCTTCAGACTTTTGCCGAGTTGAACAGCTGCCCATCCTGTAAGGTCTGATGCTGTTGCTTCTTCTGCCTTGGTCGGGTGCCCACTGCTCGCCAGCGTTCTGGACTGGTTTGACCACCATGAACAAGTTAAGTTAGGTTTTTGTATTTTTGTTTCTTTTATTTTGTAGAGGAAAGTTAGTTGATTGGAGAGGTATATTTTTCTGAGACCACTCCTGAAGCTTTATCGTCCACAATCTACAGTAAAGCTCATGAGACTAGCAATGTGTGTTTGGTCTGGCAAGTTAGTGGTGGAAAGTTGGAGGAGACATTTTTTTAGGTTGCGGCTTACTCTACACTACCCTAGACAGGTCGTAACAATATCCAAATACTTGTATATACTTATCAATATACTTGTATATACTTGTTGTCTGTAATTATACTTTATAAAGTATACTTCATAAACTAAGTGGGCTAGAGGTATATCTAGCACCTATAAGTTAACTTATAGTGAATTTGACAGTATAGCTGAAGTACAAAATAAAACTTAGATGTAGCTGTTTATTCAAAGTTTACTAGTTTTACACCTAAATAATACCAAAAAGTATAAATTTATACACTAAAAAGTAAGCCAATTTAGGAATTTACGATGCTTTTTCACTGTGTGAGCACTGGGCTATCACTGATCACATGATGTCATACAGTAATAATCTCCAGCATCTTCAGCCTGGACTCCACTGATGGTCAGAGAGAAGTCCAGACCATTCCCTCCAGATGAAGGATGACCTCCACCACCACTAAATTTAGAGGAAACTCCAGATTCTCTCTCATCTGAAAAATATATCAGAAGCTTTGGCTCTTCTCCAGGTTTCTGAAGGTACCAGGAGGTAATATAACGGCCCTTGGTAGCTGTCACCTCCTCATTCCGATAAACTACTGTGTTGGCTTTGCAGTCAATAGTGATGGAATGACCAGGCTGAGCTGCTTTTGCTGCAGTCTGAGTGACCACAGCCTGCCCCAAAGAGCCTGCAGAGATAAAGAAACAGTGTGACTACAAATGTTTAGTAAAATAACTACATCTATGTACTTCATTTGGAAATGCTCTGAAATATTAATCATTTAAATATTGAAACATAAAACAATGATCAAATGTAACTGATAGAAATGTTCTTACCCAAAGTAGATGTAACAATCATCCAGATGAAGATGGTGATTAAAGTCATGATGGCTTTTTGATGTGTGATCATGTAGATCAGCTCTCAGTCATGAAGTGTTAAACTGACAGAGCTATAAACTCTCCCAGAGCACTGAAGCATGAGCTGCTAATGCAAAGTGTCT